TTTAGGGAATAAAGAAGGTTCACTTTTTATAAGTGTATTATTTGCGCGACGTCTTCTGCGCCCGACTCCTAGTGCCCTTACTCTTTCCAATTCTTTGATTTGTAAGGAGTCTTGATTAGTTTGATTTATTAACGGATTTAAAAATATTAGCTTTCATTTTTATATATAAGCAGAAATCTATTAATAATTTTAAATTGAAAATAAACGTTGAAACTAAACATGATTACCTAAGAAATTGACCCTCGATGCTAGCAGCACTAAGTGCAACTGATACAATTTTTAATTCTTCTTTGTTAAATTCTAAATGTTGGAGTAATTTGGTAAATCGACTATTCCTTGGCACATCAAATCTTATTACTAAACCCATCATGCTTCGTAGAGTAATTGGATCTGCTGAAAATTCTTGTATTTCTGTACGAATTTGCTCCACATTGCAATCTTCTTGTATCAATAAACTCAAAACATAACCGATTCCTAATTCCAAATAATTTTAGAAAAGTTCGATTACGTAATAACAAAAATTAATTTACGTAAAAATTGATTAAACGGAAAATTTTTTTAATATTAATCAACAAATTAATTTTATTTTATATAGCTTATATTATATATATATAGTTTTATTAATATACAAGTTATGTCAAATGTTATCCTTACCATATCGACGATTCAGATACATTTTTGAACCGTAACATTCGATCCTTCCGTTTGCAATAATAGCAATCCTATCAGCAAGAAAATCTGCAGCTTCCATGGAATTCGTTGCCATTATTATCGTTTTATATCTTTTTATGTCCTACAAAATATCATTGTACATTATTTTATATTTTCTATTTTACATAATCTTTATTTTTTATATTAAAGCCATCTGCTTAAATCTCACTAAAAGTAAATCCCATATTTGTCTTTTGTGCTCAGGGTCAATACTGTATGTAGGTTCGTCGAGAATGAGGATCTGTCAGAATGAATATAAATTAAATGTGATTTTTCCAATTTATTTTATTTATTGCCATTAATTTCATTAACGTGGAAATTCAATTCTTGGATTTATTATAATTTATTATGGTTATAAGCAGGGTTGGATAAGTTAATTTTTTCTTTCAACTAAGTTAAGTTAAAGTTAATAACCTTGAAAATTTAACTTAGTTAAGATACAAGTTAATGTATGATGAAATTAATTGAATTAAAAGTTAAGTTAATAAAAAAAAGTAATTGAAAAATTAAAAGTTAAATTTCTTTCTATTTTATGATTTC